TAATATTACAAAGTTAATAGAGAGACCAAGATCACCCAAACTACAGCAGTCGGCACCGAACAAACAGTGATGTAATCTGCACCTAAATGTAAATACAGTAGCTACCTTTATTAGTAGTAGTATGGCACACATGAGCTAAATACTTAATACAGCATTTAGAAACATCTGTCCAGATCACATGTGCAGATGATTCCGTGGGCATCTGGATGGTGAGGGCTTGGAGCCAGAGAGAGGAAATTTGTTAACTTAATTCAAAATCTATATTTACAAAGCTGGAAATGTCAAAACAGTCATTTTAGACCTGGGAATTCTCAAATTAAAACCTGTCTATTGCCAAAACTTTTTTCTTAAAAAAAATGCTTCAACATGCCATCTTTGTCCCCATAAATCTTAGTTTACACATGTCAAAACAAGCTCCATCATTACAGATGTGCATTTGGGGAAAAACAAAAAACCCAAAAAGCGCCTTTGGTGTCTTTTTTCTTAAGGTGCTGAAGCAACTGGCTCCAAGCCCGTGAGCTGGGGTTTGGGAATCTGTTTTCTACACTTCCTACTTTGTCTCTCTGATCTTTCTATCTGCACATTGCACTCCTCTATCTGACTCGTTTTCATTCATTCCAAGTCTGGATACACTCATAGTAACAGTTTATATCACAGGAAGCGAGTTTGTTCAGTTGGAGTCCTGCATTTCCACTCCTGAAGCTTCTTCAGCTCCACCTTCACTGGACTGTTCCTCATCTGGGAAAAAAAACACAGATAGAGGATTTTTCATCAGTTTTTCTAACAGGCTACTTTCATTTCTGTGTTTCTGTGCATTTGAAGCTAAAGGTTTAAGATAGAATTAGATGAGAAGATTACTATTGCATCATCTTTGGATTTCATATTTCAGCTGCTGTCCTCTTGAGTAATATTTTTGGTGTTGAAAAGAGATGGCATGAGTGCTAACGAAGAAGCTGTCTTTGTTTTGTAATGAGCTTAGTCAAGATGACAAGAGATTAGTCTTGTCATCGCCATGAGGTTTAATGCTGCTCTTCTGCTTTCATTTTAAGTGCTACTGACAAGAGGTAACCAACCAGAGGTAGGTCCATACTCAGTGGCATAAACTGAGGTAAAAACTATCCCTTCAAATGACGCGCTGTAAGTGGAAAAAATGTGCTGTTATCCTGAATTGTATGACTTCGTGCTTTGTCCAGGAGCCAGCTGATAAGACAGAGTCGATAACGGCATTCGTTTTTCACCTCACTCATGCATATAATCACGATATTATGGTGGCGCATATCACTGCATGTCTGCTCTTGAGTGTTTCCTCATTTTTGTTCAGTTCATGAAGTAGGAATGACTGCAAAGTGTACACTTAGCATAAAGAACCAATGACAGGAAGCCATTACAGGAAGTAAACTTTTATAGTGATGCTATAAGCAACTGATGATCATTTCTTAAGGCAAGTCAGGGGAAACTATGCAAATAACTCACATGTCTCAGCTGCTTGTAGGGCTATATGCCCTTCAGTGCTATATATAAGTTGAAGAATCTTTAACTTATATATATTTGGTGTATTTGTACTTTTGGCACCTCAGTAGAGTAAAGGTGTAAAAATACTACTGTCACACTATGATTGACCTGAGTAGGATATTAAATGACAACTTTCATTTTGACTTGGAGTCATTTCAATTTGTTGTAGTGGTACTTTAAGTGAAGTTTCAGTATATGTAAACTTTTGCCAACAGCCAAATACCTTCTGGTCTTCTAATTACGTGCATGTGACTTTTATTTACACAACTTCTTATCAGACCACTTCGAATCTAACTGTGCCAAAAAGCCAAGGCAATTTTAGTTTCTCTTTCCTTTTCACCTTCAGTTTGCTCATCCGTACGCTTTCTCTCAGTCTGGGCGTCTGCAGAGCTCGGGTCATCCGGGGGCCAGCGGAGTTCTCCACTCTCCACCTCACTTGCATCTGTTGGCTCCACGACTATAGAGGGAAGCCTCTTGGACAACTTTGGATACCTTTCATGGGTATCTGGGAAGATCTGTTTAAAGTTTATGTAAGGTTAAAACGAGGGCTTCATATTTGTGGGGATGAAAAGGTCACTGTGGGTACCACATGTGAAAGAACAATAATGCGGTAAAAATTGGATTAAAAAAACAAACTGTGTGCATCAGATGGAAGATTTGTCTTTGTATGACACTCAGTTGAAGTTTCAAAGGTACATGCTTGGATTCAACATAAAAAACATGATGAAGGTCAGTCTCTGCTCTGACTGGTCGTCTGGCTTAGAGAAAACAAGGAATTGGTTACCTGGTAACGCCAATGCACGAATAGAAAAGCAACCCTGTAACATTGTAACACTGGTTCTTCTAAAGAGCCAGCAGGTCTTTGAGGTTTTCTTCCACTTGCAATGCAAAACTGCCAAAACTGCAGTTTCTCAAATGCCACTGAACAGCTGTTAGTCTATTCAAGTGTTGGCCTTCAGTCATTCAGATACAGGTTATTTTTTACATAAATGTGTCATGGCTATATTTTACTTGATCTACTCTTGATACTTTAATCCTATACTTAGAGAGTTCTTAGGAAATGCATCAGACAAAATTATTATTATTATTAAGCTATAGCTTATAAACTGTTTAGTTTATTTTTAACCACAACTAGCATAGCAGATATCATCTGCCAAAAAAAATGTTGTTTCTTTTTTTATTTCAAAAGGCTTCAAAGACAGTCAGTCTTCTAGCGATCTGGGCAATTTATAGAAATTCAGAAGGAACGCAACATGTGCAGTTGCAATCCTGTGTGCACCTAACCACCTAACCTCAAACTTAACAGCGTTCATTCAGGCTTGTGTTGTGCGGAAAGTGAAGGATTAATGTTTGCAGGTCCAGAATGGAAAGCTGACCAGGGTGCTCATCCACACATGAACTCGACACATTCATCATCAGATTAACGGAGATGAGTGAGTGTCTGAAACGGGTTTACAGCTAATCTCCCCCCTTTCTGACAACTAAATGCATTTAAATGATATTAAGGCCTAAAGTGATGAATAATTAGGGGTATGGATGTTGTTTTTTCTTGTTCAGTTGAGTTTTGCTAAAAGACAGTCTAAAGAGTTGATTATTTCAGCATGCCGTTTAATATTGCTCTAGCTAGCTAACACAGCTAGTTAGCTAATGCTGACAACTTCTCAGGTCTAACCTCTCCTATGACTTAACTTAAAAATAAAAAGATCAAAAAGAAAAACAACTACATACAAAAACAACGTGGTTCCAAAATGGTCAACAAACCAAAAGGTGACGTCTTGATGACAGTGTCTGAACTTAAAACAAAAAAGGTGGCGCCTCTTTTTTTTTTTTAATTTTATTTCCAGTGGAAATAAATAAAATTTAGTTCCAGTGGAACAAATTAGCCATTCTCTTGGTATTTGAAAGGATGTAATGACACTACAAGTTACTGGGGGGAAAAACCTAGAAGATGAATGAGTCTACATTGTTTTCCGTTGGCAAAAAAAGGACAAGGGAAAACACAAAAACAACAAATATATGTGCTTTAAGCTTTTTAGTTATGAAAAGCTTAAAGCACTGGCTGCACTGGGTTAACACATAGAATAATAACATGTTAACATCTGGTAATTTCAATCAGTTATTGGCATTTACTATATTTTGTCATAATTCAAACTGGGAACATTTTTATTATTATGTTTCAACTTTTTGGTGGCACCAGAGGTCAAATTCATATTTAGTGTGTAACTTCTTCGTGGGATTTCATGTATTACTTTTCAGATATTTCAATGTGGATCAAACAAACATTGTTATTAGCTATGCTGCTAATATGGCTAGTAATTTAAATAACACAGGGAGGACCTAATAGCATGTATTAACTGAAATCTAACCACAAGTAATAGTTAATGAAACACATTATGACAAAATGTGTTACTTAAACTGTTAATATTATATAGTCAATAATTTAGCTGTCCATTTGTTGGATAAGCCATTTAGCATTTGTTCAAAGCAGCACTGAGTCCAGCTAATGACCTTTGTCATATCAACCAGCATTTTATGGTTGCTCATCACTTCTGTGACTCATCGCTTTCTGCTTTCTGCTTTCTGCTTTCTGCTTTCTGCTCAAATGAAACGAGACTGGTTTGAAATTGTCTAATTGCACACATTCGCACACACAATGCAAAGGATACTGTGGCCTGATCTCCTCCTGCTCCTCCCCCGCTGAAGTCCTCAGTCCCCGGCTCCAGAGAGTTCATCACCTCAGTCATCCTGGAGAAAATCACAAGTCAATAAACTGTCTTCACTTTGTTTCTCTGCTCTTTCCTTCATTATTTTTGTCTTAAGCTGGGTTATGTGACACACTGTCTGTTCAAGGTTCTCTGATTTTACTTGCACCCTCTGCGTTAAAACAGGGCATTTGTCACAATAGTTACTTATGTCGAATTTTAGCTTAGGAGATTATTTATAGGACTAATAGGACTAACAGTGTTTCTGGTAATACAGAAGTTTGTTCTAGGTTGATTCGCCCCTATTGCTGGCACTAACTGGCTAACAGTAATGGGCAATTAGTGTTAATAATCACAAACACTAAAAAAAAGTCAGGTAGTGGTGATTAACAAATGCTCAACAATGAAGGCTGGCAGAAACGGCTGACAGCAACAGCTGACTAGCAACTCGATGTGTAACATGTATAACACTATCCAATACAGTCTGATGTACTTTCCGTACTTCTGGTAAACTAGTACCAACATGTTTTATTTCTAAAACAACGGCAATAGAGGTTTCATGTAGCGTTTTCAGTGGCATTTCGTCACGCATGCAAATGACTTCCTCAGTTTCAACTGACTGCAGCTTTCTCCAGCTTTATAAACAGTACATTTGAATAATGACCAAAACTAGCACCATTCCCTAACCACAATTCACTGATTAACACTTCAAGTTCACCGGGAACTTGACTTAGTATATATGAAGGAGGATAAGAAAATAAAACGTTAGCTTTCTTAGACTGTGAAGTTCCCATCATTATTGCAGGATATTTGAAAGTTGATGTGTGCCGTGAACCAATGTAACTGTATTAGGAGTTAGGGTTTGACTCTCGTAATCCACTGAAGAGTAAACTGGGTTTCATCAGGACACTACAAAACAGAGCAAACACCATCGCCACACAAACGGAAGCCAAGGAAGCGAAAGAGCATCATATCAAAAAGGCTCTTTGTAAATGTGGGTATCCCAGCTGGGTAGTCGTCAAAGCTGGCAAGACACCTAAAGAATGTTCCAGGCAAGCCAGAAGAGAACAAGGACAACTGTTGCCACCTAAACAAAAGCCTTTAGTGACCCCTTATGAATCAGGCATATTAGAAAAGCTGAGATGCACTTTTTTTCAATACAACGCATCTCTGTGGCTTTCTAACCCTAAAACAGAAACACCAAAAATATGTGCACCCCAAGGATTGGGTTCCCGGGGTACAAACAGTAATGCTGTCAAGTGCTAGGGGGATTGGAGGATTAAACAAACTCTGGCTAAGCAGATGGCACAACACAGAAGAGCTACCTTATCAGGCAACGACTCCAGAATCTATTTATACCTAAAGACCAGTTCCCAGTTTGAGCAGGAGGTCAAGGGATCCATTCATGTGAAAAGGGAAAGATCATCTCTGAACAGAGCCGGGAACCTAAGGATACATCTTTTACCGTCTTACAGTGCTGTGACTGCAGCCATTCCCTGACTCTCTTTGAATGGCACTAATGGCCATTAATCTATAGTCATGACAATTTTTATATAACTGATCAAGACACTGACGTCACAGCCCATCATGCTAGTTTTGGTCATTATGCAAATTTACTGCTGATAAGGTGGGTAAAGGTGCAGTCAGCTAAGTCTGAAGAAGTCACTTGGATGAGTGAGGAAATGTTTCTCGTCTAGATGAACAAAGTTAGATTTCTGGGTCAGTTAATAATTGTTTCCCCTCCCAGATATTCTACAATCAGCTCTTATTGCAAAGTGCAGGTGTTTAGGAACTTCAGCAACTCATGTCAGACCATGTAAAGTCACAGAGGTGCTTAATACGTAACAGTTGCCAACACTCTGTCATCTCAACACTCGAAGGCTGACAGCACTTCAGAGTATTCCAAACCTCCTCTGACATTAACATCAGCACAAAAACTGTGCTGGGAGCTTCATGACATGGGTTTCCATCACTGTGCAGCTCTTGTAAGTTTAATGTGTAGGTGGCCAAGTACTTTTATCTATATAGTGTGTCTAATTAAATTTGATTAACACTAGGGCGCTAGGTGTAGGAGTAACTTGTGATATAAGTATGATGATAAAATTGTAATGCATGGTGCAGCTATTCTGCTTCAATTAACAGAACACAAGATAAACATCTATTACTTAAAAACAATAAATAATGTGTTTAAGTGAAGGAAAAGGTAGCTCTAAAAAGCAGGTGTTTAATATTTATCCAGTGTACTTTACCAGTTCCTTATACTAGCTCTCTCCCCTAACCCTGAGGTGAGTTTCTTTTTCTTCACTGTCATGGAGTCAAGGAGTAATAACTCTGATAAGCCAGGTTTGTTTAGAGTATACCTGTTTTTTATACTTGCAATATTGCAAGTATTAGTAACTGTACTGCAAGAAACTACCCAATATATTCCATTATAAATATTTTGGCCTACCAATACTTCACAACTGTTGGCCCAAAAACACTACGAGTGAAAGTTCTGCCACAGAGGCATAGTTTGAATGTAAGCCTTATGATTCAGTGGTGTAAACTATTTCAAGATAGCACAGTTAGTTCCTTATTTTGTAAGAGGGGTGTAAAAGAAGTATTTTCTTCCCCTGCAAGGGTTCAACAAAAAAATGACTTCCCATCTCGTCGTCTTCTCAATAAAACGTTAGGATGTTAGGAGGTTAACGAGGGCTTCGGCAGAACTTTTTGGAGGTATGGTCCAAAAACAGGAGAAATGAAGACTGATCTTTAGTATTCACCACACACTGCTTCAACACTACTACTTATAACTACATCAACCAGCTACCAACATGTTTTCATGTGTTCAGTTCTTTCTTACCATATGATGCTCTCTTTGTTTTAATGGCCCCATTTAGAACAGATCAGATGGCAAAGCAGGTTAGGCTACCTTGAAAAGTCAATAACATAAGAGTGCGCAGTGTCACCTGGTTACTGAGTCAGATCCACCCCTCGCTCAATACTTCTGGTTTCAAAACACCAGGATGGCAAAGGCCACAGCAAAATTGGTGCTTTGAGTGCAGTGAGCTTGAACCAAACCAGAAAAGCTGTAGCCAGACGAGCAATGAGCTAAAACTTGCAATCAAGCTCCGAAAGCTGGAATTTGATACTTATACATATGTTATATCTGCCTTAACCGCTGTTATGAGCAGCAGACCACAATGCAAAATTATACCACCCTTCACCTCTGCCGCATCTATGATGTTGTTAAGTTGAAACACCTGATTACAGACTATAATGCAAGCCTGATTCTATTTTTATGGAGATATTAAGACATCACTCCTTATCCATTTAATAACATCCAAGTACAGCATTCTGGTTGGTGGTGAAAGGCAGACTTTACGTGTGATAAGTTATCAGAAACACCACTTTTCATACAATCAGACTTGCAGTTCCTGTTGCCATGGGGACGAGCGATTGAGATTTTATTCCTCTGATTGTCTGAGTAGTGCACTTTGCACACAAGGCTGAGGGCTGATTTGGGGGTATTCATGTGTGCCGTTACGCAGCAATTACCACCATCAGGACGGGGTTGTGCAGTTTGTGAGACTTCTCTGTTAAACCTGGAATTGCTGCTGCCCTTCATCATCATTTCCGTGAAAAGACAATGCAGCCTTTATTCCTCCTCTGAGGCTCCTATTGTTCCTCTGGAGGGAATCTGTGCGGTCACTCCAGTCAGTCTTATGTTAAAAAACAAAAAAAAAAGCTGTGTTGCTCTCTAGGTATCAACTGGAGAGGCCTGTGGAGCTCTGCGCATGATTTCAGTCTGATCTTGTTTCTGAGAAGTGCACTCACTCTGCAGGGATGTGAAGCGTAACAGACACAAGAATTTAAATGTTGCTGCCAGGCGTGACGCTTCAGTCATGCCTTTTTTTTGGTAGCGGAATAATTATTTCTTATTTGAGTCATTAGGTCTGAACAGGATTATCCATGTGTTAATGTCTTTGTTCACAGGAAGCTACCTCACTTCTGCCTCAGCAGAGACATGAAATGTTAAGATGCTTTTCAATTCATGCAACAAAAGAGAAAAAAAACAAGTATTAAGAAACAATTAGGGCTAAAACTTAAGTTTGTTTCTAAATATTTGATGTGATTTACATTATTTAAATACAAGAAATCTTAATCTATAAAATTAAGCAGTATTAATATGTTCTGATTTTACTGCCTCTGTTGGAGATGGAGCTGCAGTGATATGTTGCCTTACTAATTAACAGAAATATAAGAAAACCTTTTGATTATGCAAAAAAGTCACTATTATCACAAGTCAAGCAAAATAATCCAGTTATTTAGTGCATTTCCTCATCATAGATGACAGTAAATCTAAATGTTTCTGGATAGCTGGTTAGACTGTTTAAATGAAAGAATTAAGGTATTTTTTACTATTACGTCATTACTGGAAATAATAATTGTCTTGAGTGGGGTGCAAGTTTAATTCTTGCCACAAAAAAAGATTTATCCAGATCATTTACTTAAAGGAATTAGTCCAGAATTTCCTAGGTGTAGAAAAATCCTTTACCAGCTCTTTATCTTCTGAAGGATATTAAAGGTTGATGGGAATTTGCCCAACCAGTCTACATGCACATTGTGGACTCGGAGAGCGAATTCTCCTGGGGATCCTGCGGGGTTACTTTGGAAGTATGGGGTATCTGACCCATTGTTTCAACCCATTAGGTTGCTGTACAACCACAGTGAGAGTTTGGTCCATACTGGCAACAACAGTTCGGGATCTTTCTTGTTTGTGTTGGACTCCTCCAGAGCTGCCCTTTGTCACTGATTCTGTTCATAATGTTTATAGACAAAGTTTCTAGGCCATGTAAGAGAGGGTCTCCCCTTTGGTGGTTGCAGGATCTCTTTTCTACTTTTTGCAGATGATGTGACTCTGTTGCCTTTATCAGTTGGCAACTTCCACCTCACACTGGTGTAGTTTGCTGCAACAGGAATAAGAATTAGCACTTCAGAGTCTGAAGCCATGAATTTTAGTAGGAAAAGGGTGGACCATCCACTCTGGGTCAAGAATAAGTTGCTACCCCAGGTGGGTCTTGTTCTTGAGTGTCATTGTGCCATGTCTCAATCAATGTAGGCGATGGACGGCTTCGTTGTGGTGAAGTGAGAGCTTAGTGTGAAAAGAAAGTTCGATTTACCAGTCGATCTACGTTCCTACTCTCAACTACGGTCAAGAGCTCTGGGTCGTGACTCAAAGAATGAAACTGTAGATACAAGTGGAACAGTTTCCTCCGAAGCTAGGCTATCCTTTAGCGATAGGGTGAGGAGTTCATTCTGAAGGGACTCAAGAGTAGAGATGCTACTGTTCCACATCAAAAGGAGCCAGTTGAGGTGGGTTAAAACATCTGACTAGGATGCCTCTTGGATGCCTCCTACACAAGGTGTTCCAGCATGACCTCTCCAGGAAGAGGCTCCAGGGCAGACCTAGGGACACACTGAAGATTTTATACCTCTTGGTTGGCTTGGGAACATCTCAGTGACTTCCTCTGCATGAGCTGGAGGAGGTGACTGGTGAGAGGGAGGTCAGGGTTTCTCTCCTTAGACTCCTGCCCCCTCATCCCAGACTCAGATGAGCAGCAGAAAATAAATGGATGGATGGATTTAGAAAAATCTGGATTTGCAAAGTCACTACCAGCTATTGCAATTCTGTCAAGTAAAAATGGCACCATTCAGCAGGCAGCATCAACAGTATCATTACTACATGATGGTTGTGTACTTCCACCAAAAAGTCAAGATGCAGTTTTCATCTGTCTCTGTTCAGAATTGACCTTTGACCTTTTGGATGTAAAATGTCACTTTGTTTTTACACTCTCAGTCAGTCAGTGTGAAATTTCGTTGCTGTTACTTATATGAAAAATATCTTTTGTAAGGTTAAAAAAAAAAAACTCTGACCACCAAATTTTCATCAGGTAAGTGCACATAGGGGTGGTCGCAAATAAAGATTCCTTTATGGCTTTCAAGACAAAAAATGGGAAAAGATGGATGGATGCAGGTATGGATGGATGACAACCCCATTACATAATGACTATTGCCACAATTGTTACCAGTGCACATGAATACAACCGTAAAAGAAATGTAAAGCAACAGACTGCATTAAAAAAAGGATTCATGGTTCATGTAATTTTCCCCAAGTCTCGCGTTTGTTCTCAGTTTCAGGATTTTTTACTATTCTCTGCTAATAATGGCTCAATCTCCTACCGGCTGGCCCTACCTCATCGTCACCACATTGGGTAGGATGCTGCATTTGGAAGGCTCAGTGAGCCTCTACTCCAGAAAGAAATCCTCTTCATTAGTGTTAAAATAACAGAATAAGGTTTGGAGCCTGATGTTCCCACCTCCTAGTATATTTTAAATGCCTGATTTCAATGTGGACTAGACCCAACATCTTAAGAAAGACGAGAGCCACTGTCTCCTGTTTTATCATTTCCATTTACGTTTTGGGTGAAATGGATACGTCTGATGTCAGAGATAAAAAATTCCTCTCTCTCATGTCCATCAGTAGATTCATCGTGGTGAAGACTGCCCAAACTGTCTTTCCCCAGAGGCTGTTCAGCAGCAGTCACTTGAACTCCACTATTTCATTTTTGCAGATATAAAGGTGTATTAAGGTGGAATGGCTGCTCTGAGCTCTCATCGCGCCAGCTTCACTTCAAACATCTTTTCCATTTCTGCTATTAAATCAGAGCCAGAAGCAGCAGCACCTCCTCAAATGCAGGTTTGCTGTAGAAATCCAGCAAGTTTTCACAACCCAAGGAAAGAGGAAAAATTCAACCCATGGTCAAAAATAGTGACGCTTTCTCTCTCTCCCTCTCTCTCTCTCTCTCTCTCTCTCTCTCTCATACAGCTTACTAAAAAAACTCCACTGCTCAGTTTCAGTTGTAAATCAATGTGATTTCTCCAGTGTTTGCTGCCCTAATTCACATTTCCTGTTCTAGTTTTTAAGGCGCACTCAGCTGATACTTTAATTATTGTTATTATTATTATTATTATTATTATTTAAATAAAACTGGTATTTAAAATATACACATTGTGCTGTATTGGAGCAGAGGTTAATCTGCATAATATACAACAGGTAGGTAGTAGATTTACACGATTAAAACACCTCGTCCTACACGGAAACGGGCTAATTTGCGCTTTTCTGCCCGCAACCCCAAACTCCAGTTCAGAAAGTCTCTGCAAAACAGGTTTTGTGATTTTCCTAAACCTACGAGGTGCACTTTAGATTAGTTACATAAACAGTAATTTAGTTACTTTTAGGAAAAGTGAATTAAGCTACTTCTAGTAAGGAAATAAAGAATAAATGGGGCTTAACGCGTCCAAGTTGGCTAAAATGCGGATGAAAGCTCCGTACCTGTCTGCAGGCTGATCCAGTGTCTCAGAGCAGGAGGCTCTCCGTCCTCAGCTGCCTCATCACACTGATACGGCTCCTGATGCTGCTGCTGATGATGATGGTGATGATGATGATGACGATGATGATGCTGGCTGTTGTGGGCGACAGGCGGAGGGGCACGCAAGGCTCTGTGGTAAAGTTACCACTCGCAGTTAAGTGTTCAGAGCCTGCGCATTGAAGCGGAGCTAGTGCTGCCTTCAAAGCCTGTCGGGAAAAGGCGGGCTATCGAGAGAATCTCGTGCAAGACTGTATGTCAAAAAGTACGTGGGCACCTCTGCTTTACATTTTATGTTTCTGACTTTTGGTTATTACATTCCAGAAAATAACTGAATAGCAATAAATAACTACTGTATCTAAGTAATAATAATAATCATCATGATAATAATAACTTTTAAAATACCATCCAAATTTTGTTTGATAAACACTGAGAACAGAAGCCCAA